AAAAAAAAAAAAAAAAAAACCTGAAAATTCATTAACCAAAAACTAGCTAATCACAAGCCTCTGATGAAAATTACCTATGACTCTCTATACCATAAAATGAATGTTTGTAGCAACCCCCTCTGCCTCTAAGTTGTGACTTTGTCCATCTACAGACTTTGACACCACTATGTGAACCGATGATCTTATATCCCTGCACATTTAAGGTCATTGCAAAATAGCCAATCAGTATATCAAAATAAGATTCTATGTAGAAAGTGATTCCTGCAAAAGGATAAATAAACAACACCTGTTTCTCTAGACTCGCCCTAATTACTGGAGTAACCATATCTTTTTTCCCATTCGAAGTCCCATTAGTTTGAACCACTACCGGTGATCTCCTCGAAGGTCCTTTGCCAGCAATATCCTCAAGATCAACAATTTCCGACTCTACGCTGTACTCCTCATCCGTCTCATAATCACTCTCTGCATCACTCTCAGCACCAACTCCATTACTCAAAGCTCCACCATTTTCCACCACATCGTCATTCAAAACCTTCACCATTTTCGCGCTCCAAGCGTCGAACGCCTCCTCCAGATCGCCGCCGTCGACATCCCCTTCCCAAACCGGCAACATCTCCGCCGCGCCCAGCCCCCTCATCCGCTTCGACAAGTCCCTCGCCACCACATTGTACGTCGCGCCGTAAGCTCGGCTCCCGACGCCGAAAACTGCGAACTTGCATTGCGATAACAACAGCGATCCGACCCTGAAGTCTTCGACGCTCTCGGCGAGCCAATTGGCGAAGAACCTCCCGCTCGGAGGCGCTTTTCCGTCCTCCCACGTCGAAGCGACGATCAGAACTTGGGTTTCCTTGGGGAGGTCCTCGGGCTCGTAAGCCTTGGCGTCGACAAGGTCAAACGCAAGGTCGTTGGAGTTCAGAAGATCGAGAAGACGACGGGCTAGGGTTTTGGAAGTCCCTGTTTCGGAGATGAAGAGGAGCTTGCCTCTGCGAAAGCAAGAGGAAGATTTAGAGTTAGGGTTAGGGTTTAGGGAAATTCTGAGGCTTCTGAGGCGATGGAATTTGTAGAAGCAGTAGAAAGTGGTGGCGGAGAGGAGGGCGAGAAGAGTGAGACGAGCTGGGACAGAGGAAATGCACATGGCGGGCAATAATTTCTCTGGTTTTGCCATTTTAGAGAAGTCAGAGAGAGTTCTGTGAC